AGTGCAGAGTGAAAAGGGATGGGGTCGTTCACAAGACTGGAAGAGCCCACAGAAGTAATTGAACGAGCAGGTCTGAGGGGCTTCTTCAAGACTCCGTATCCAGAGAGCTGGTTTTTTCTACACTTGACACCATCATTACGTCACTCTGTACCACATACCGCTTCCTGCTCTCATCTGATGCCCTCCAGGACAAGAGGAAACAGCCTCAAGTTGTGCCAGGGCAGGGTGAGGTTGGCCATGGGGAACAATTCCTTCCCCTTGGGGCTGTCAGGGGCTGGAAGGGGCTGCCCAGGGAAGGGGTCGAGTCCCCAGCCCGGGGGGGATTTAACAGCCGGGCAGAGGCGGTGCTGAGGGCCAGGGGTTGGGGATGGGATGGCAGGGGTAAGGGAACAGTTGGGCTTGGTGAGCTTAAAGGGCTTTTCCAACCTCAATGATTCTGTGATTCCATGATGCTCTTTTCTCATCCAATGAAAGAAAGTCAAGCAAAAATGCCCAGGAGCTGGTTGAAAGGAAAGCCACAGGTTTCCACCACCTGCATTTCCCGTGGTCTTGCTGGAACAGGTTACCCGGAGTGATTGTGGAGTCTCCATCCTTGGAAGTATTCAGAAGTCCTGGGCAACCAGCTCTAGGCAGCCCTGCTTGGGCAGCGGGGTTGGACCAGATGACCTCCTGAGGTCCCTTCCAACCTCAGCCACCCCATGGTTCTGTGACTCCACATGCAACTGGACAGGAGGAGAGGTGGGTGACGTTTCACAGGTGTGGTGACGCTGAGGGAAGACCGTTGTACATTGAAGAGTCAGTGATCCGCGGAACAGGCTTCCTGTTCTGTGCTGTGCTTAGGGATTGAACTTGCTTTCCTTTGGTGAGGAAGGCTGTATCCGGGAGACACATCCTAGCGCGTGCTCAAACGCCACGGCAGCCTGGGAGCTGGTTACTTGATCCCTTCTTTTGGAATTGCTCGGACTCCTCAGAAACAGCATCTTTGGGCTGACCCACGGGAGCACATCTGCAGAGAAAGGCAAAGAATCTGAGGGGAAGGCACCTCCTGAAGTCAGATTGTGTGCTCTGGGCAGTCACTGAATCGCAGAATAGTTGAGGTGAGAAGGGACCAGAGGCTTTCCAGAGACCCAAAGCAAGCCCCGGCAGAGCCCTTGCCTGCAGGCGGCGGTCTTGGCTACAGAGCAGGCCCGGGGAAGCGCTCTCCGGGCTCAGGCCCAACACCTCTCCAGCCTGGGATCCCCCTCCCAGGGGTCTGGGGAAAGGGCGGGCACAAGCGCCCCGTCCCCCGCCCGTGCCGGGGCTCTGCTGTCCTTCCCGGGAGAAGCGGACATCCCCCTCCCTGCCCTAGCGGGGCTCCTCTCGCCCCCTCTCCATGGCCGGTCGGGGCGGGGCAGGCGGGACGCTCGCTCCGCCGTCCCCACCGCTGCTGCCGCC